GTGACTGAATCATGCGTAGCACGGAATCAACCTATTCACCCGTAAACAAATAAACAACCAATGGATCTCCTTTATCGACGGACTTAATCTGCATACAAAACAACACACGTGTTTTACCATAACTTTTATAAATATATCTCTTATTGTTAATAAGTTATGGCGAAGGTTAAAGTTGACAACAGACAGACAGACAAACAGACAAACAGACAGGACAAAAACAATATACGCCCGGGATCTATCGATCCGGGCGCATAAAAAAAAAAATGAAAATGTGAATATGTATATATCTGTACTTGCTTAATTTTGTATTTAAGGTCTTCCGTCTTCAGCGGAAGACCTTACTGTTATTCTCAGGTTTCTTTTCCACTATTTTTATTATTAAGGTCTTTCGTCTTCAGCGGAACACCTTCTTGTTTTTCTTCGGTTTCTTTTTCACTTTTATTATTTTTTTTCTTACCGATTTTGTGCACGCGATTTCTCGAAAACGGCTCAACAAAATCTTATGAAACTTTCAGGACGTATGGAACATCACTTGAACCTTATACGTTTTTTTCCGTTTCGATGACGTCTCTTCGGTCTAGAGATATCGTCGATTTTCTGATTTTTAAGGGTCATTTTGTCCAGAATTTCCCCGAAAAACGGCTCTGGTTATTATTATTATTATTCTTTTTTAAGGTCTTCCGTCTTCATGGAAGACCTTATAGTGATTCTACTGTTTCTTCTTCTTCTTATTATTTTTCCGCCCATCTAATTTTGTGCACGCGATTTCTCGAAGACTACTGGGTGGATTTTCATGAAATTTATGGAATCAATGTGTTATTATCTGAAGTTATTTTATCCGAGAGATTTGTTGGAAATTCGCTTCCGGTGCCAAGTTACGGGACATTTCCTGATTTTAAAATGACATTTTGTCTTCGGATTATCTCAAGAACGATAAAAGATATCAAGATGAAACTTTCAGGGATTATAGATCGTAATAGATTCTAACCAGGACGCAACCTTTCGTTCGTCGTCAATACTTCCTGTCATTAGGAGATGCGAATTGAAAAAAAACGTATTTTCTAACTTTTTTGTTTTCCAATATTTTTTATTTATTTTTGGAATATTAAAAGTGACCCTGCTGTTGATGCTTACTATATAAGTTGTTTGAATATTGGTTAATCTGAACTCTAGATATTAATATTTGAAATTCTGAAGCGGGCCCAAGATGGCGGCTGTCTCTGTCAACTCCGCCATTTCGCGAGTAGGGGTTTATGGAGGCAGCTGAGCGTTTGATTAAACCATTCTGACATAAGGATACATGAAATGTAAAAAACTACTTGGACTTTCACGTAGTAGTATGTTGCAATTCAGTGTCAATCTTAAAACTTAATTTCCGTTTCACTGCTTTAGTGAAACTGGGCTATATACGATATGTAATGTGTACAATGTGTTAAATATACTTTCTTGACGTCGAAATAAAATAAAGGGACAATAACATTTTATTTATTTAATTTCATTGAAGCTATCACACCTATTTAATAGATCAATCCAAAATTTTTATCTGGTGCCAAGATCCAAAGAGAATGCGCGAACATTTACTCATGGCGTTTGGCGCGAAATTATGAAAAGTGACCCGCCTTTTATAATTCTTAGACAGGTGTACTGTTGCAAAATTAAAGTATACACAAGTATGTTTAGAGCAGGTCTCCCAATAGCTTATTAGTTCGCGTGTTGGGGATAATTATAATAGAGAAAAAATGCATTCACGTTGGCGATCTGGATTCAATCCTGCTTGCGACAAAAATTTTAAAAACACTTTTCAGCTCGATTTTATGAGGTTTTTTTTTCCTGAATCGGACGGAAGACCTGTCGTTGCTCGCAACGAGATCGTATCTAGTTTTTCTTACCGATTTTGTGCACGCGAGTTCTCCGAAAGGCTCGCTCGATTTTCATGAAACTTTCAGGACTGATAGAGCATGAAAATATCTATATATATATATTTTTTGATGACGACACTTCCGGTTTTGAGATTTCCGCGTTTTAGTGATTTTCAGAGGGTCGCTTTGTCCGGCAGTTTTCTGAAAAACCACTCAACATAGAAACATAAAATTTTCAGTGATGCTAGAACATCTTTGGAGAAGTGAATTTCGTATATCACAACCACCGGAAGTACGAAGCGCCGACGCTCGCTATGGCCCGAAAATAGTCCTATCAAGAATTTCAAAATTTTTAACACCTTTTCTACGCTAACTTTTTACCTGGAAATATTTTGTTAAAACATGTAGAACAAAAAAAGTATAGAATTCCAAGACCTTTCAAATGATACCTCGAAAAAATGACTGGCCCCTTAAATCAGGGGCAGAGAGGGGCCAAATGTTTTTCCTTTATATCTCAAAAAGTATTTAAAATTTGTAATACGTCAAAGAAGCAAAGTTGTTCAAAATGTCTAGCTTAATCTACTGGAGTCGTCAAAATACGTCCGTTGTCGTCACGTCCGGCCAAACCAGAAGTAGTCGGAAAACGCCTTTTTGCCGTTCTTGACAAGATTTTGGGTTACATATGTCTCTGGGAGCATAAAAAGTAATTTTTCCGTCCATCGTCGTCACTTCCGGTCAAACCGGAAGTAGCAAAAAAAGCTTATTTTGAAGGTTTTGGTGCAAAATTGAAATTATAAAGTCACTGGAGAGTACTTAGTTCATTGCTTTCTTTTGTTCCGTTTCTCCCGGCACTTCCGGTCAAAACCGGACAGAAGACCTACTCGTTGCTTTGCAACGAGCTTTGCTCTAGTTACTCCTATAATTCTTTTTTTTATCAACGATGAAGCAATGGAAATAGAAATTTCCGAGTTGTGAGATAGAATACATAAAATCAATCCCGCAAAACTGTGTTATTTTCGTCGAAATACATTAAATTAAGAGTATTCAAACTCAAGGAATTCACAATCAAAACTCTTTATATTAGAGATGCTTGCTTAAATCAAGTATTCCATTTAAGAAAGAAATATGTCCCACAAAACGACATGTAATGCTCTTTTTGATGTACTTACATTATTTGCTTGAGACATATATTCTTTGATGGATATTTATGAATTATTCTAAAGCATCACTTTTCATAAACCAATTAACAGCTATCAATTTATATGTTGACGCTGCGGTTGAAATGCGAAGGTTGTATAACGAATATTTTTTGTATGCCTGACGAATAAAAGCTAGTTAATTGCTATATTCATTATAGATACAGATATTTCAGATAGGAAGAGCTAGGCGAGAGAATCAATATATCTTCAAAAAAGTATTACATGGTCTATAAAAGCTTTTTTATTGAAGTTCAATGTAAAATGTGCGTACTTTTAAATTGTCTTACGAAAAATAATTTATCATAGAATACCTTTAGTAATTATATGCAATATTTACTGGTCTCCAAGCTTAAGGGTATACATTATAAAAAATAATGGAATTTTTCACATCGTCCTGTATTTTTGAAGCTACACTATTAACTAGACAATGATTCCTTATATTCACATTTCATTATGAAATAAAATTGTAAATTTAAAAATCTTAAAATGAAGACTAATAATGTCTAGTGTTGAGACCTCCTATGTCAATTCCAATAATTCCCGTCCGCTGACGAAGACATCCACACAAGATTTATATGCATTTTAGGCCTCCATATCTCATGAACTAGACCGCTTGGCAAAATTTGTATTCCGGTAAAATGTTAAAAAATCAACTTCATTAACATTAACTTTCAAAGAGTTATCACAGATAAAACAGACAGAGATGAAAATATCATTATCAGAAGTAAAATTACATGAGTATATATACGACGTACATGCACTGCCTTTCCATGATTACCAAATGTGCGGGTCAACGATGGGATCTTTGAAAGTACAGACGAAGACCTTAAATGCAACCCCCTTACACAGCTGGAGTTGTCTGGTAACAAGGGCAACAGATGCAGTAGAGTTGCGAAATTAGAACTTATTTTGATTAAAAAACAGAGGTATGTTATAACACGCTTTGAAAAATTACGTAATTTGAAAAAAAAATTCAAAGTGCGTTAAAGTTGGGACCAAATTAACGCACTTTGAAAAAATAAAATATCTTTTCAAAGTGCGTTGCCACAGAGGTAACGTCATTTATATTGTGAGATAATGCAACGGTTGTCATGCAGTTTTTCTTAAAACATGTTAAAAAGTGTATTGTGATCTATATTGCATTTAACGTTTTGCTACATAGAACCAATCAGACAGTATTCATGCATTTTGCAATTGTAACATTGAAAGGTATTTGAGTTGCTGATGATAGATCCTTTTATGTTTAAATGTATATACTTTCTCTAATAGTTCTGTAACTTCACCAGGAAGCATGATAGATAAGATAGGACTTAACATTCAACCCTGTCTAGTACCTATATTACACTGACAATAGTCTGAGCTGAAATAAGTGGAGCTAATAACAAACATCATTCGAGCTCGAAGTCGATTAAAAAGTATAAAATTGGAGCCGAGCAATAAATTAATATATTTGGATCAAATTAACTGACACATGTAAACCTGTATGCGGGTATCAATGAAGATATGTTGCTTCATAAGTAAAGGAAGTTGACGAAAAATAAAAAAAAGTGAAATTATCACGTTTGTCACAAAGTTTGGTTGTTAGATTACTTGTGACTTCTTTTAATACATGAAGTTTAACTGGGAGACATTGACTTTAAAATCAGTGAACGTTTAACTTGTATCGACTTTTTTTCTTGAATAATTGATTGGCCAATGCTAGAAAGTGAAGAAATTCTCCCCAAAAGTGCGCAAAAAATATTGAGCCGTAAATTGCACGCTTTTTGCATTAGGGGATCTGTAGCGTTATGGTCAAAGACAAATATATAACACCATAACGCTACAGATCTGCAGCTATCATAAACGTAGACATATTCAAAAAGAATGCCGCTCGAAACTTACAACCTCCAGGAAATCAGTTCAAAGGAAGAAAATTGTTAATTTCGTAGCTTATGATTCTCAGAATCCAAGTGATGACCATAACATAGCCAGTCTGGAACTCAACAATTTGGCAAGTAATGATATTATCTGGATCCAGCTGAAAATAAATGGAAAGACGATGAAGATGAAACTTGATACTGGTTCTGCTGTGTCAGTCATGGCGAAGGGGGAGTTCCGAGATTCCGAGAAAAGTTTAGAAAACTAAATTTGAAAACCCCAGACATCACACTACGCACATACTCGGGAGAACACATCAAGCCAGTGGGTTATATAGATGTGCTAGTTGAATATGGTGACACCAAACAGACATTACCTTTGTATGTTGTTCGTAAAGGAGGAACAGCTCTTCTCGGCAGAGATTGGTTGAAGAAAATTTAACTTGACTGGAAAGTGATCAGAAAAACACATGTCATAAACACTGTAAAATCACCAAACATTAGTGAAATTTTGGAGAAATACAAGGATGTGTTTAGTGATGATGTGGGAACTGTCAAAGGTAACAGAGACAAGGTGTAACTCAAGGAAAACAAACCCACATATGTCAAGGCAAGGACAGTGCCATTTTCCTTAAGAGCAAAAGTTAAATAAGAACTTGACAGACTAGAAGCAGAAGGAACACTTACTAAAGTCCAACATAGTGACTGGGCAACTCCTATCGTATCTGTTTTGAAGAAAAAGTGTAAGAATTTGTGGAGATTGCAAGGTCATTCTGAACCCACTACTTAACGTCGATCAATATCCACTACCCAGAATAGACGATATTTAGACGATATTTTTTGCGAATATGAATGGAGGAACACATTTCTCCAAGATTGACTTAAAACAAGCATACTTACAACTTCCTGTCGATGAAGCATGCAAAGAACTACTGACCATAAGCACACACAAGGATTGTACAGCTATAATAGGATAGGATGACCTTCGGAATTGCGTCTGCACCAGCTATTTGGCAAGTCCTACAGGGCGTTCCAGGGACCCAGTGTATTTTAGATGATATGGTCATCACAGGAAAGACTGACGAGAAACACATCAGGAATTTGAACATGGTTTTGAAAAGACTTATTCAGTATGGTTTGCGTGCAAACTTAAAAAAAGTGAATTCTTTAAAGAGAATGTAACATTCAGTGGACACACAATTGACCGACACGGTCTACACAAGACACCAGAGAAGATTGATGCTATAGTGAAGGCACCTGCACCAACCAATGTTTCCCAGCTAAGATCTTTCTTAGGTTTAGTGAATTATTATGGTAAATTCTTACCTGACTTGGCAATTGTATTTAGACCCTTACACAAGTTACTGCAAAAGGATAGTCGTTGCGAATGGACTGAGGCCTGTGAATAGTCATTCAACAAAGTGACGGACTTGGTAGCTTCAAACTTGGTGTTGACACACTACAATCCAGATTTACCCATTTCTCTAGCATGTGACGTATCACTCTTCGGACTTGGTGTTGTTATTTCTCATGAGCTACCTGATGGTACCGAGGGACCAATCACATTCGCCTCACGTACTCTAGCACAAGCAGAGAAAAAAAATTACTCCCTAATTGATAAAGAAGCCTTGGGAATCATATGGGGAATTAAGAAATTCCCTTCTTACCTGTTTGGCAGGAAATTCAAGTTGATCACAGATTATCAGCCTCTGATACACATCTTTAGTCCTCAGAAATGAAATTTTAGTAATTGCTTCATCGAGACTACAAAGATATTCTCTTTTCTTGTCTGCCTATGATTATGAGATTGGATTCCGCAAGACAACGAAACACGCTAATGCTGATTCAATGTCACGTCTACCACTGAAAAGGAAGGAGTTTGATATTACCATTGACCTAGTTGATGCCTTCCATCTTGGACAGTTTGAGCTTTTACCGGTGTTCGTTAAAAATGTTCAACAGGATGCAGTACTAGGGCGTGGGATGTCATGTGTAAACAGTGACTGGACTTCAACAAACAAAGATGGTGGATTCGCACCATATTATTCACGTCGTATCGACTGTCAATACATCACAGATGTGTTACCTGGGGTGTAAGGGTGATTATACCTACTAAACTCAGAGACCAAGTGTTATCTCAGATTCACGAAGAACATCTTGGAGTTGTTAAGATGAAGACACTTGCCAGAAAATTCTGTTGGTGGCCAGAAATAGACCAGGACATTGAGATAATGGCTAAAAGGTGTCAGGGATGTCAACAGAATCAGAACGCACCTAAGAGAGCACCACTGAATGCATGGAAATGGCCAACCAAGGCATGGGAAAGAGTTCACATAGATTTCGCTGGACCTTTCTTGGGAGCCATGTTCTTGATAATGGTGGATTCTCACTCAAAGTGGCCAGAGGTGGTCAAAATGACTACTACTACATCAGCGCACACTATCTATGCTCTTAGGACCTTATTTTCCAGAAATGGTCTACCTGCTACTATTGTCAGTGATAATGGTCCACAATTTACTTCAAGGGAATTCGAAAACTTCTTGAATGCTAATGGAGTCAAACACATCAAAACTACCCCCATACCACCCATATAGCAACTGGGTAGCTGAGCGTTTCTCACAGACATTCAAACAGGCAATGAAATGTAGCAGAAACGAGGCAGGCGGTATTAAGGAGAAACTAGCAGACTTCTTATTAGCTTACCAAAGTACTCCACATTGTACTACCAATGAAACTCCAGCGCAACTTATGATGGGAAGGGAGTTAAGAACAAAAATGGATCTGCTCAGACCGAACTTGGAATCGCATGTCAAGCAGAAACAAGAAAATATGTGTGCACAGAGACGTACACCTGATTGGATATTCGAGCGTGGACAATCGGTGATGATGCGTGATTATCGAGGAAAAGATAAATGGATCGAAGGAACAATCGCACAGAGAACTGGACAAGTGTTGTATCGTGTTCAAGTTGACCCAACAAATCAATGGAGGAGACACGCTGACCAGATTGTGGAATCGCAAGTTCCGATAACACAACCGAGTATTGAGATTCCAGAGTTAAACAGCTCATGATCTACCTCGGTGGACCGTGGTGTTAAATCTGCTACTCAGGATTTCCATGTGTCACAACCGAAAGAACTTAGAGTTTCGAAATCACCCAAAACTGTACGTACACCATCAAAACCTGCTGCTGTCTTGCCAGAGAAACGTTACCCAGTACGCAATCGTAAACCGAAAATCATGGAAGATTTTGTGTACCATGGTTCTTCTGCCAAGACCAAAACCTAATTCGAGTGTGTGTCTAGTTATGTAGGAAAGTTGTACTGTGTAAAAAGGGGCACAATAATCCCCTGTACAATTTTATTCTGTGTTCTGTTATTTCTAGTCAAAGAACTATGTGCGGTATATTGCATATATTTGCCCCCACAAAAGTCAGATTTTGAAAACTTCCTGAAATGTGCTGAATTCAATAAATTTATATGAGAAATATAAATTAACAGAAAATATTATAGTTTCAAAGCAGTGTATACACAATTTTTGTTTCTATGACGTCACAAACTAGTCCGATTTTATATCCTTTTTCAGAAAGAGGACAAAATGGACAAAATTTCAACAATTTTAGCTTAAAAATTTAAAGAGCGCAAGTTTGTTCAGGAACAATATTGACATATTTCATTGATATTATCATTCTACACATTATATGAAAATATTGATCCTGAACACACATGAGCTCGGTGACTTTTACTCAAAATATCGACGAAATATGTACATTTTCCTGTAAAATTTATTAAAAAAAATGAAATTTACGTCATGTTTGTGACGTCATTACGTACATATGATTTCATTACTTATGAAAATATACAGTGCTTTGAAGTCAGCATATACTCCCTTGTTTAAGAACTTAGTTTAATATGTCTCCATCAAAGTTTAATTTGGGGGGCAAATATTGCTTATTACCAAATAAAGTTCTTTTCTGTTTAATTCTAGTCATATAGTGTGTTCATTATATGCATGAAATATTTTATTTGCCTTATGGATTTTAATGCATGCACCTCAGATAAGCGCAGGTATGTTAAGGTTACAACCAAATATTCTACTTGCCTATATAATATGACGTCATAGTAAGCTATATGACGTGAAGTTTAGAGATGAAAATTTCTTAAAATTGATATCTAAGATTGATTGGTTGATTGATTGTATATTGTTTAACGTCCCTCTTGAGAATTTTTCACTCATATGGAGACGTCACCGTATGCCGGTGAAGGGCTTCAAATTTAGACCTATACTCGTAACTCAGGGCCATTGAGCAGTGAGGGTTCTTTAACGTGCCAGCGCCTACCGTGACACGGGACCTACGTTTTTAAGGTCATATCCGAAAGACCCGTGACTTTCACTTCTAGTGCCGAGCGCTTGGCGAAGGAACAGTCACTACCTTTGTTTACGTCTTAGGTATGACGCGGCGCCGCGAACGAGAATCGAACCCGGGCCTCCCGATTACGAAGCGAACGCTCAACCACTAGGCTACCGTGACCGGTAAAAAGATTGATTGGAATAGAGGTCGTAAAATTGAATCAAATGATGCAGAGGCATAATATAAACGAAATTTTGTCGTTTCTGGGTCTCTGTAGTTATCACAAGGGTTAAATACCAAACCCATGACGTCATAACTATTGATCATGGAGTTGGAGAGTGACAGTGCTTCCTGTAGTATAAGTCCCATTGAAGTCTATAGAATGCATAATGATAGCAAAAGTTTTATGACTTTTCCGATTTACTAGTGTTACATTATTATAAAAAAGTGTTAATTCGCCGAATTCTGACCCATGTGCTGCCTTAACATACCCGCGAGTGTGTTGTTCTTATAAAATTGCTTTTGTGAACAAGAGTAGACATTTAATTTTTATTAATTATAATCTACAATTATGTACATAAATCTAAAAGGGGAGAAAATGTTGTATCCGGAATTATTTTATCTGTCTATGTTGGGTTTATCTGTTACTATTATATGGCGCATTAATATCTTCAGAAATAATGTAGTTCACAATGGCTGCGCTCTTGTCATAACACATGTGCTCATGCTAGAGTAGCACAAACACAGTATGAGTTATCTGTAAAAAGCGAAACATTTTCCTCCCTTTTACAAATGAATCTTTTTATACTTGCCTGAAAAACAAAGCACATTATCAATAGTAGAACAAATCTGCCCAAAGCCATTTATTGTTCAAGTAACACCCCTTTTTTAATATTTTCATAAGTCTATCATAATGTGATATCATTATATTTGTCGCCTACGTGTGGCAGTAGTTACCCGTGTGGTCTATAGTCGCGAAGTAAAGAGTTGATCCTAGTAGATACTAGGTGCTGGTATGAAAAAGAGTTTTATGTGATGTCATAGTAAAAATTTCCCGTATAACTTACATAGGTCCTACTTCCTTATTGCAGCCGCAAGTGTGCTGCGATAGATATACCTTATGGCACTTCCTTCAGCCGTACCATGATCACAAGAAATTCAAAGTGTCTCTAAATACCAAAAAACGTATTGCATATCCTCGGTGCATCAAGTAGAATTACACAATGTTTCGAAAAAAACTTGTCATAATTAATACTATTAATACATTGTCATCAAATGTACCAACATTATTATATTTTACTTTGCTATATTTTTGACGAAATTAAGCAAAATGCAACAACGTAAAATGTATTAAAACACTTTGAGGTGAGTTTTTGTTATGCTTCTTTGATCGTTTTTTAACGTACCTCTCGTGAATTTTTCACTCATTTGGAGACGTAACCACCTGCCTGCCGATGGAGAGCTGCAAATTTGTAACCTATACTCTGCACTCAGGGCCATTGAGCAGCGAAGGGTCTTTTTCGTGCTCACAGCTACTGCGAAGCGGGACCTCGGTTTATACGGTTACATCCAAAGGACAGAACTTCATGTCTCTAAGTGTGATTCGAACCTGCAACGTAAGGATCAACTCCGTACTTTGCGACTTTTGAGAAGACGCTCTTACCACTGCGTCACGCCCAAAGTTTATAAATAATAAATAACAAGTTTAAAAACTTCACTGGTAAATGAGTTGTGTCTGTATGTGGTGAAAACTTCCGAGCAGGCATTTGATCGTCACAGGATTTGATCACGTCACCGTCCTACTTAAATTAGCGGAAATTCCTTCCCGCAAAAGTGTCAAGAAGAAAACACAGCCAAAAGTAGTACGTTTACAGTTTTTAAAACTTTTCTCCTATATCTTGAGTAAGGTGAATCGTAAGAGATCCTTCCACGTACTTTATAGGCTAAATACAATTGGGATGTTATTGTTCGTGTAGCAGTTTGGGTTGAACATTTTTAGCGGAAATTCCTTCCCGCAAAAGCGTCAAGAAGAAAACACAGCCAAAAGTAGTACGTTTACAGTTTTTAAAACTTTTCTCCTATATCTTGAGTAAGGTGAATCGTAAGAGATCCTTCCACGTACTTTATAGGCTAAATACATTTGAAATGTTATCGTTCGTGTAGCAGTTTGGGTTGAACATTTTCTCAACAGTAACAGAAAAAAGGATTTACTTTTCGTCTCGAATTCAAATACCACGGTGGGAGAATAAGACCAGTCCTTTGGGTGTGACCATAGACATCGAGGTCCCTTGTTGCAGTAGGTGTTTTGCAAATTTGCTATGGGCAAAGTGCTGGTATCTCAACATAAGTGAAAAACTCTCGAAGAGATGTAAAACAACACAAACAAACATGTTGAAATGAAAATAATCATACATGCATTTCCATTCTAATTCTGGGTTACTGAGTTTTATTACTGAAGGCTCTAATTCTCCTACTAATGCCGAAGTGCATTGTCAGACGAAGTGTTCCTCAAAATCTGTTTTGTATATCTTTGTAATGTACGAAAAATATTCGAAATTTTAATAACATGCTGATTGCTTAACCACTTTCTAAACGTTTTTAAAAAATCCAAACACTTAAACATTTATAATTGGAAATTATTTTTCTTCCCAAAAGGATTATATAAGAAAAACTACCCCTGGTATTTTGCAGAAATGCTTGGCAATGTACCTCAATTTTTCGTGAGTAAACATGTTTAAGTAGCAACACTTCAATGACAAACTCTTAGAAAAATTTATCTATTATTAAGGAAGGTCTCGTCTGGCCTTCAGGAGTATGGAAAATAATCAATGTTTTAAATGAACATCGTAGGTTTCTTATTCTGAATCTCTGAAGCATTTTAAGTACCTATCATTTTTAACCCTTAGGGGATATTAATTTCCAGTCACACTAATTTGGCAATTAATATTTATCTATTATTAAGGAAGGTCTCGTCTGGCCTTCAGGAGTATGGAAAATAATCAATATTTTAAATGAACATCGTAGGTTTCTCATTCTGAATCTCTGAAGCATTTTAAGTACCTATCATTTTTAACCCTTAGGGGATATTAATTTCCAGTCACACTAATTTGGCAATTAATATTGATTAAAACTAATATTTCAAACAGTTTATTTTTTAACAATACCTTCCTCATACAAACATTAAACTTTGCTGTATAACCATTATGGTCGTACATATGTAATAACTATTTAAACCCATATCTA